TATTTGTAGGGGGGGAAAAAACCAAAAACAAAGTCATAAATTTACTTTTCTTTTTCCAAGCCTCAGTCTTAACATATACAAAATATAGATGACAATACTTACCTCATAGGATTGTGGTGAGGATTAAATGAGATGCTGTATGTAACGGACTTAGCAGCACCTGGCACATAATGAGCTGACACTGGTATAGCAGATTGTTTACGAATCTTCTCCTTCAGAGAAGAAGAAATATAACAAGAGATATACATAGGTATTAATCTTCAAGAACTCCAACAGAGCTGAATATAACCCAAAAGTTCAATTTTCCATCTTCTAGTCTCCAAGGAAGTTACAGTTATTTCCTCTTTTGTGCTTCAGCGAGGACCTGGCAGATATTTCTACTGTAGCTTTTATTACACTGCATTATTTCTTTCATTGTATTACATTGTATTACAACTATTTTTCACATTTCACATTTCTTCTCCACTAGCTGTGAACATCTTGGAGGAAAGGCCTGTCTTATACAACTTTTTGACTACATAGTCCTACCACACTATGAAATTTAATAAATACCAGGTAAATGAGCAGATGAATGAGTGAACTAATGAATGGCCCATGCCTAGCAATGCACTGCACCTTCTCTCTTCTGGTTGGAGACTAGAACAGCTGTTTTCTCTGTGGCTTGGGCTTGTTCAGAGGAAAGGCAGAAGCTCATTCTCTAAAGGCTCTTTTTTCAGCAGAGAAGCCAACTAGTGCGAGTAGCTACTTCCTCTATCCTGTCACACCAGGCAGCCCCTCTGCTGTACTTTTACAGGGTCGGTGATACTGGCAGAGCCACACCTGGGACCAAATGCCTTCTATGTGCCACTACAGAAGGTAAACAGAATATGCCCTATAGGATATTTTTGCCTGGTGACAGCTAAGGGGGTCAGGGAAGGTCCCATATCAAATGCTAACCTGATTAATGTCTCCCATATAGTGAGGGTTAGGATGTTAGAGCTGTCTGTAAATAGACCCCTGGATAGTGAAACAGAAAAAGATTGTCTCAAAATCAGAAGCCCACCTGCTTAATACTGTGAAATGCAGCTATGAAACTGGAAATGGAAGAAGAAAACTACATGTTTAACTTCTAAAATACTGTGTATTAACAAATGTCTAAAATGGTTTATAAATAAGTCTGGCAGAAAAGCCGGCTGTCCCTAACTGTGAATAGACCGTAGGGCTCAACTTTGCTTACTAGCCTAGGACCCGAACCCATTCAGGGAGTACTGGATAGGGCTAGATAGGATACCAGAACCTACAGACAAAAAAGGCCTGTGCTGCCTTGAGACTTTTGCCAGTTCTAGATATCCATGAGGCTGTCAGGAAAGCCAAAGGAAGCCAGTAGGTAAGAAACACTGGGAGTTCATGTGCATTTTTACAGGTGTTGGCTGCTGCTGTTCCCTGCTCTTGCTGCAGGGAAACTACTATTTTAGAGACAGACACTGAGCTGACGATGTCACTGAAACCTATTTTATTAAAACTCCCTGGGACAATCATCCCAGTACACAGATTTTAATATCAAATCAGTGGGACCTAATTGGTGTAGCTAAGGAAAGGACGGAAATTTTATCCTTTGTAACAATTTTAGGTTCTTGGAGAGTAATTTGTTTTCTCCTGGCAGGTGTAGTTAATATTTACAGTATGCATAAATTCATTCTGGACTAGACAATAGAAAAGACCAGTCCTTGCTGAAACTTGGGCCTGACTTCTCTACTCTTGTCTCTCTTAACCCCTTTCTTGAATAGTTCAATTTCAATCTGTGGTTGATGAAATCCAGATATATTACAGCTCAAGAAATTTGGCTTTCATTCTCTGCTGTAACCTCAGCGAACATCAGAAAATGATAAATGCACATTGCCAGATTAAATTGGTCTAAAGCTAGATCGGGCTTCAAGTAAATTCATTTGAATGTCTACATCTCCTAATCCCGTATCCACTCTGGTCAAATGAGCTTCTACTTTTCTAAAAAGGACTGGAAGCTAAATCCAACTTCCACAGCTGTCCCCCCTGGAGTCCTGCCATTGCTGCTTCAGAAGAAACACCATCTCCTAGGAGCTGCCACAGTTTAGAGGGCTTGCACAGCTCTGCTGGCATAAAAATGAAACTGTTAGACATCTGAAGGCAGGAGAGTACCAGTGGACTAACAAATTCCCAGACCAAGGTTACTTCATCCTATTTCTTATACACTTCATTAAATTCACTTCTATTTTGAGAGGAAAGTCAACAGCAGAATTTTCCCTTCTTAATTCCACCTCCATATTTTTTCCTCAACTTTCAAACAGCATCTTTGACCTTCACTGAGATCATGCTGAATCCTTAAGAATCTTTCTCTGGGGGCTCTCCTCCAGAGCCTTTAAGGGCTCTTTAGCACCTATAGAATACGCTCTATAACTCAGCACACAATGCTCCCTATTCATGATGTGGCCTTAATCTTCTTTTCTTTACTTCACTTCTTCCCACAGCCATGCACAATAGTCAGCCAAATTATTCATGTTAATATGCTTTGTGGCAACTCACTTCAACTTCTGCTCTGACATCCTGTTGGTTTCCTGTTCTTGCCTAGGTGTATACCTTGACTGGCTAGGAGTATGAAGTACCTAGTACTGTGCCTGGAATATAACTATTACTTAATAAATGGTAGTTATTATTATTGACACTTTCTTGCTTCAATTCTCTTTTTTTGCATTAAATTAATATTTATTAATAGTTATTGTACCCCTGTCCACACAAAAGGCTTTTAGGGGTTTTTTTCTGTTTCATTTTGTTTTAAAGTATCATTTTATTTTCTTCAAGTTATTTTTTTTTAAGATTGTATTTATTTATTCATGAGAGACACACAGAGAGAGAGGCAGAGACATAGGCAGAGGGAGAAGCAGGCTCCATGCAGGGAGCCTGATGCGGGACTTGATCCCAGGACCCCAGGATCACACCCTGAGCCGAAGGCAGATACTGAACCACTGAGCCACCCAGGCATCCCCAAGTTCTTTTTTTTAAAAAAAAAGATTTTATTTATTTATTTATGAAAGACACAGAGAGAGACGAAGACATAGGCAGAGGGAGAAGCAGGTTCCCTGTGGGGATCCCAGTGTGGGAGTTGATCCTAGGATCCCAGGATCACTATCTGAGCCAAAGGCAGATGCTCAACCACTGAGCCACCCAGGGATTACTTCAAAGTCTTATTTAAATTTAAGTTAATTAATATATCAATTTCAGGTGTAGAATTTAGTGATTCATCACTTATATACAACACCCAATGCTCATCACTACAAGTGCCCTCCTTAATCCATCACCCATTAAACCCATCCTCCCACCCACCTCCCCTCTGGTAACCCTCAGTTTGATCTCTATAGTAAGAGTCTGTTTCCTAGTTTGTCTCTCTCTTTTTTCTCCCATATGTTCATCGTTTTGTCTTTTAAATTCCACATATGAGTGAAATCATATGGTATTTGTCTTTTATTTTTTGCTTCAATTCTTAAAAGAGGTAGTATTAATTGTGCTGCCACTAAAACATTTGATCCCTGCCTAGTACTTATACTCCAAATCTAAATCTCTATCAAATTTTCCTTCCCAATGAGCTAGCTGGGCTAGACAATGAAGTAATAAAAGTTAGTGTTCCCAAGCATGTGTATGGTGACAGTAATCAGAATAGTGGTTGCTTGTGGGTGGTCGGGATTTACTAGAAGGGGGCATAAGGGAACTTTCTGGAATGATGGAACTGTTCTATGTTTTGATTGGGGTGTTGGTCATTATGACTATATATATTTGCCCAAATTCATCTAATTATACACTTGAAATCAGTGCATCTTGCTGTCTATAAAACTAATCTTGATTTTTTTGAAAAAGTCAGAATCACTTCTATTTTTTTTCCCCTAAAGCAGAGTCAAAAACTCAAATGTCTGTATGAGCTTTGCAGGTAAGGGAAATGTGTAGTGGGTTAAGTAGACTGCAATAGGGAGGGTTGAGGGCTGCTGACAAACTGGAGAGTCTGCTTTTTATCCTAATCACAGAGACAGTATGTGCAAAAGCAGAATCTGTATTTAAGAGGCACCTCAAAAAAAAAAAAGAGTCACCTCAGATGTTTCCATCATTAGTCAGTTTTCTGATACACTGTGCTGTGTCACAGAGCATTTAATAGTCTCCAAAGTGGGATGCATAAGATGATCTATTGAAATGTAGGAAGATAATATTTAGAAATTGTTCATTTTTTTTTCATTTTCGTGTTTTCTTCTCCTTTTCATCTTAGAATGTACAAAGGAACCCACAGAAGGGAGCATACCACATTTATCTTGCATATCCTGTGCCAAGTCAAGCAACCAAAGCCTGGAGTATGGAACATTTCAGAGGGTGCAGTGTGTGAACAGATACGACACAGGGCCTTGGAGAACAACACTGCTATGGCCTTAGAAATAAGGAACAAACTTTACTATTTAATTCTAAGAGAAAAGGAAAGGGCACTGAAGTTCTCTAGTTCTAAAGTGCAGGCTGAACTGTGAGTGCTATATGATCCTCTGCAAAAAAAGAAAGAGTATGTGTTTAGCTGAAGGTGTGGCATGAGTGGCAAGGAGGTCTTCTCAAGACCTGTGACCCTGGAGCAGCTGGAATGGTGATACGGCGATGTGTTTGTTCATAGAGAAGCATGCCAATTTGTTGATTAGCTGCCCAGTGTGGTAAAGGCAGGCACACCTGTAAAGCCAGGGTGATGGCATCTCTTCTCTGGCCTGGCAGAGCACAGAGGAGAGCACGGAACCACAATTCTAGATTTCAATGTGCCTACACTAGTCCTCATACTAGTCCCAGGGGACATGGTATCTGCCCACATACCAATCTGTACCCTGCTGGTTGGAGAGGTGGTCAGAAGGAACTGACTTCCTTCCATTCCACTGGAATCAGGAAATCCAAAGAAACCCAGAGACAGCACACTGCCTGGCCCCTTAATTAATATACGGTTTCCATTGTTCTAAAGAAGACCTCATATAGGGTTGCTTTAACAGAATAAAGTTTATTTATCTCTCAAGTAAAAGTCCAAATTTGTATGGTGGTGCTGACTCACAAAATTGTTAGTCTCCCAGGTTCCTTCCATCCACTTGCTCCACCATCTCTAGGATGTTGCCCTTGTTTACATGATCCAAAATGCCCATGTGTAGTCAGTTAAAAATTGGAATACTATGAAGAAAAAAAAAGGAAAAATTGCTTTGAGGTCAACCACCAGTCTGTGGCACACTGAGTACCAAAGCCCAGCCCTGAAGCGTGAAACCAAAGGGAATCAAAAAGAGTCTCATATTGTGTGAGAAATGAACGAGTTTTTCACATACTCCAGAGAGCAATTTTTTAAAGCAGACTTTTGAGTCCAGTGTATTGGATGGCAAGAATCCATATTTTCTGCACGAGGACATGTTTCCATCCCAAGGGTTCTGTCCTGAATAACACAACACACCTCATACAAAAATGCGGTGGTACTGATAGCAGTTGATTTTCCTCAAACAAACTGGGCAATTTTTATTATATTTAAGGGACATGCAGAGGCACCGACTACAGAAGATATGGCCACATTCTGTAGAGTAAATGTGTCGCCTACTTAGTTCAATCTCCGAGTACCCATCCATACAAATTCGGCACCGAATATAACCAGGTAGTGTGCAACTTACAGCTTCTTCTTCCAGGGCATTATGGCAGGTACTGTCGGTCACATATACATCCCTGTTTCTCATCAACTCCTCCTTATCACTGCTCACCACAGAGCTGCCAGTTTGGCCTTGGAATGACCTTGTGTTCCCCCCTCGTCGCCTCCTTTCTTCAGTAATCACAACAGAGTCGTGGCAAGTTAGGTCAATCACTGTAGGTTCTAGCGATTCGCAGGTGAGGTCAACTATTTCATCACTTTCCCTGAGATCTATCAGTTCTGCTTCTAAGACCGTCTCAGGACTTAGGCCTCCTTCCCCAGCTGTACCGAATTCTCGGGTTTGTCTGGAACTCACCATGCTACCATAGCACATTCTTGTATTCATCGTGATTGTTGGATCCAGTCTTCAGAGAATTAAGTGATCTGTGTCAAAGTTTATAGTCCCCAGTGAATGTTAAAGTCCCCAGTGTGTCACAGCTGTTGGTCAGGTATATTTGAACTCTAATTCTGGTTGCTCCTCTCTCCACCTCTACAACTGCTGTGTTCCTATGTAGGTGGGTTTATGAGGCTTCTGGATGTCACTTTTAAGACTACACAACCTGAATTTTTAACTGTAAAAAAAAGAGAAAAAGTAAGTTTTGGTAATATCTAAAGTAAAATTGATAGTAGTATAAAATGAATAGATATCTAGAGAAAAATGTGTACTCAAAATATTTGGATAATTATGCATTTAAACAAAGTTTAAGCTTTTGTCTTTCCACATTCCATGTCCTGATGACAGTGGGAAGGAGAAGTCCAAAGGGCACTGACATGAAGAAAAGCACAAAATCACTTCATGCTGGGGCATCTGGGTGGTGCAGTCGATTGAGCGTCTGGCTATTGGTTTTGGCTGGGTCATGGTCTCAAGCCCCATATGGGGCTCTGAGCTCTATGTGGAGTCTGCTTGGGACTCTCACCCTCTGCCCCACCCACGCTCACACTCTCTAAAACAGTGGATGAATACATCTTTAAAAGAGAGAGAAAAAAAGTACTGCATACCAAGAAAGTGTCACTACTTCATCTAAGATCCAGTGTGAGGATGTCAAGGAAACACTTTTTTTTTTTTTTTTTTTTTTTTTTTGAGAGAGAGAGAGAAGGAGAAGGAGCAGAGGAAGAGGTTGAGAGAGAATCTTAAGCAGACTCTATACCCAGTACAAAGCCCAACTGGGGGCTTGTTTTCACAACCCTGAGACCTAAGCTGAAATCAAGTCAGATCAATCAAATCAAGTCAGACACTTAACTGACTAAGCCACCCAGGTGCTCTGGAAACACTTATTTTTTACAAAGAAAAATTAAGAGACCAAAAAGTTATTTGCACATTTGGGTTTCTAATAGCAAATAAGAAATGAACCATTTAGTCCATGCAGAGATTCATCTTGTGCAGCGGTTCCCTTTCTAACAGAGATATCAAGAGAAATTTTCTTGAAGAGTTTTATCACAGATTCTCTTTTAGGAAAGAGGGGATGGAGTTCAAGCATTTGCCTTAGAGAGACTTGTTTTGAGTCTAGGCTCTGTGACTTTGGACATGTGATGTAGACAGTTAAAGTTCTCAAAACCTCAGCATGTAAATTCTTTCTAAAAATAATTTTGTAGAGACACTTGGGTGGCTCACTGGTTGAGCATCTGCCTTCAGCTCAGGGCATGATCCCGGGTCCTGGGATCGAGTCCACATCAGGCTCCCTGCAGGGAGCCTGCTTCTCCCTCTGCCTATGTCTCTGCCTCTCTCTCTCTCTCTTTCTGTGTGTGTGTGTGTGTGTGTGTGTGTGTGTCTCATGAATAAATAAAATATTTTAAAAATAATAATAAAGAAAAATTTTAATTTTGTAATTTAAAAAAATGCATCCTCAGTCATCATTAGAGAAATGCATATTATAGCCATTATGAGATACCACTTCACACTCACTATGATGACTATAATTTAAGAAATAGAAAATATCAAGTGTTGGCGAGGATGTAGAAAAATTGAGATTCTCATATAGTGCTGGTGGGAATGTAAAATGGTGCAGCAGCTTTGGAAAACAGTCTGGCAGTTCCTCAAAAGGTTAAACATAGAGTTACCATATGACCCCGCAACTCCACTCCTAGGTATATACCCAAGAGAATTGAAAACTTCTGTCCAATCTGAAAACTTGTACAAGAATGTTAATAACAGGGCAGCCCCAGTGGTGCAGCGGTTTAGCGCCGCCTGCAGCCCAGGGCGTGATCCTGGAGACCCGGGATCGAGTCCCATGTCAGGCTCTCTGTATGATGCCCGCTTCTCCCTCTGCCTGTGTCTCTACCTCTCTCTCTCTGTCTCTATGAATAAATAAATAAATAAATAAATAAATAAATAAATAAATAAATAAATAAATAAATAAAAAAAAATCTTAAAAAAAAAAGAATGTTGATAACAATATCATTCTTAATACCACAAAAAGTAGAAACAACCCGAGTACCTACTGAATAATGAATGGATAAACAAAATGTGATATATCAATACAATGGAGTATTATTCAGCAGTAAAAAAAAAAAATAAGGACAGCTACTTGCTATAATATGGATGACCTTTGAAAACATCATATAAAGTCATAGAAGCCAATCACCAAAGACCATAAATGGTTTGATTCCTTGAATATAAAATGTCAAGAACAGGCAACTCCTTAGAGACAGAAAGGTGAGTGGTTCCTTAGGCCTGAGGTGTTGAGGAGAAATAGGAAATGACTGCTAATGGGTACAGGGTTTCTTTTGGGATCAGGAAAATGTCCTAAAATTGAAGTGATGTCTGCACATCTCTGTGAATACACTCACTGAGTGGTGTTACGTTGGACACGAATAGTATGGTCTGTGAATTATATCTCAATAAAGCTTTTTTTATTATTTTAAAGATTTTCATTTATTTATTTATTAATGATAGAGAGGCAGAGACAGAGGCAAGGGAGAAGCCGACTCCAAGCAGGGAGCCCGATGTAGGACTTGATCCCGGGACCCTAGTGCGATGCCCTGAGCCAAAGGCAGATAGATGCCCAACCTCTGAGCCACCCAGACGTCCCTCAATAAAGCTTTTACAAAAACAAACACATAAGCTGCCATAGAAATGTCACACAAAACAGTGTGACACAATCTGGATTTAGACACAAGCCCTAGAACCCTAAAGGAAAATGGAGAGGAGGGCACCCAAGGAAGGCCCAGCGCTCCGCCGGACGCGCCCCCCACTCACCGAGGCAGGTCTTGTCCTAGGCCCCGTGGACAGCTGCTTTCGGCCGGTCGCCGCCCTTCAGTGACCGGCTCGCTCCTCCTCCTCCGCGCTGTTCGCAGGGAAAGAACCTTCAGGCGGAGGCTGGGAAGCCCGGAACAGAAGCGCCCGCCACCACCCACCCCACCCACGCACCCCATCGATGACTTAGCTATTCCGTCGGTCCAGCCCAGTCCCGCGCGGGGAGCTAGCCATCCAGCCAGGGCGCCCCGGAGGGTGCTGCCCGCCGCGCGCCGCGCTTCAGCCTCCGCGCCGCTCCCCGGCGGGTCTGCGCCGAGCGCGGGGGCGGCGAACCCAGGCGCCCCGCTACCCGCCGGGCCGGAGCGAGGACCGGGGAGCCGCAGGCCGCGGGAGCCGGCGGTCGGGACCGCGGAGGGGAGGCGCGGCCCGGGGGTGGGGGGGGACTCACCGCGAGCGCGCTCCGGCGCGGCGGCGCCCAGCCAGGAGCCCGGCCACGGTCACCGAGGGGTCTCGGCCCAGGCTAGCGACAGGACTGCGGAGAGCGTTGGGGGTTTCCCTCCTTTTAATCCGCTAGTTTCATTTCTCAGCTGCCCAATCAAAACCCGAGGCCATGGCGCCGCGTCATCAGTCTCTGGGCGGAACGCCGCGGACCGGGTTAGAAAAGGGTTAGCTTCGTCTTCCTCGGAAGAAAGAGGCGCCAGAATGTTGTTCTTTGGATCAAGCAACTCCCCACTCTCAAGAAAAAGTGGTTCTCATTCAACAGAGGCAGTATTGCCTCTCTAAAAGTTTTGAAAATTAACAGGGCTATTTTTGGTTGTTCCAGTGATGTGGTCACTGGGGGTACTAGGGGCTGAGGGCCAGGGCCCCAGTGTCCCCCGCCCCCCGCCCCCATTCTTTCTCTCCCTCCCTCTCTCTCTCTTTCTCATTCAGTGTATGAAAAACCTGCTCATAATCTGGTCTTTACAATCAGATGTAAAAATGTGTTTTATTTTTCAATTATTTTGTTATTCTTAAAAGATTTTATTTATTGATTCATGAGAGACACGGAGAGGCAGAGACACAGGCAGAGAAAGAAGCAGGCTTCCTGCAGGAAACCCGATGCGGGACTGGATCCCTGGACCCTTGGATCAGAACTTGAGCCAAAGGCAGAGGCTCAACCCCTGAGCCACTAGGTGGCCTTCGTTTCTTGATTATGTATTGACTATTTACTATGCCAGGACTGTTAGTTACCAAACCAAAGTGGGCCCGCTCCTTGATGAGTTATAGACAGGGACTACACCAAAGGGAGGTGCCTTACAAAGTCAACTTTATTTGTACAAACAAGGCGATCATGGGAAATCATTTCCAAAGGTGTGTCTCCCTGAACAAGGGGAATTTTGCAGGCTCTTTTTACTAAAAAGATATTGGGATATTCCGAGGGAGATTTTAACATTACAATGAGCTGAGGTAACTGCTGAGCACTTTCTGAATCCTCTGGGCAGGCAACTTTCTCAACCGTTCGAATAAATGAATGAACTTTATGATGTAGGAATAATTGTTCCATTTTATGGATATGGTAACAAAGAGTCAAACCAGTAATAATGATTTTTCTAATTTCTTTTGTGAATTAGGATCCAAGCTCAGGTCTGAGTTCGTGGGCATTCACACTTTAATTCTAGCCCCTAGAAATTTTGAACTTTTATTTTTTTTAATCTTTCTATTTTTTAAAGATTTTATTTATTTATTCATGAGACACACACACACACACACACACACACAGAGAGAGAGAGAGAGAGGGGCAGAGACAGAAGCAGGCTCCATGCAAGGAGCCCAATGTGAGACTCGATCCTAGGTCTCCAGGATCACTCCCTGAGCTGAAGGCAGGGCTAAACCGCTAAGCCACCAAGCTGCCCAATTTTGAATTTTTAATAGAAGTTTGGGACTTCAAGTGTTGTGAGCCCCACAGAGGAAGTTAACAGGAAACTCTCAGTAGCAAACTGAATCTCCACCCAGGTTCTATGAGCTCATACCCAGCTTTTTTTCACATTTTGCTGTTAACAACTAGCACCTACACATTACCACAGCCCTGCAGACTACCCTACCGCACTGTAGTGAGCTGGAAGTACCTTGGAATTTTATGTTTCATCCCACACAATGCATTCTGCAGCTTATAGCCAAAGATAGGCTGATGTGAGGTCCCAAAGCTCAGCTCCTTTGCTTCAAGGCAAAGCTAATGTTGAGGGGTGTTCCCTTGTTCTTCCCATTCTCTCTTCTTCATTTCCCCCACTCCCTTATTGGTTTCTCCTGGAAGCTCTGTCTTTATAAGCCACATATATCCAAATTCTGGATTCATGGACTGCTTCTGCAAGAGCTTAACCTAATGTGCTCCCTGACTCTTCAGATGATGAAAATGGCATGCACACTTCCAAACAGTAAGGATGACTAGAAAACCCCTTCAAACAGCGCTATGACATTTTGGGGCAGCAAGAGTACTCTCTGTTTTTTCTAAGAGAAAACAGTAAAGAGGAAGTGGCCCAGGGGGGTGGGGAAGCCTCACACTTCTGTGGTCTTCAGTTAGGCCTGTGTGCTAAAAAATAGAAGTAGCTTCTTTGTTTCATAGACTTTTTAATCATAGTAAGTGCTTGATACATAGCTAAACTTTTTTTTCTCAATTCTATTTACCAAAGTTTTTTTCCTAACCAAGTTTCCCTTCCTTTTTATTGTTCTCCAAAGTATCAGAATTTTTTTTAATGCATGAAGTTTCCAGTCAAACTACTCAGATATTTAGGACCCAAATTGGTTAGTCTTTGATTGTTTTCTAAAAGCCTAGAATCCAAGGAGACAATTTCCTGCCAAGCTGGGCTGTCTGTGTTTGTCTGCTAAGCTGCATCCTTGCTGTGTCCCAGAACATAGGCATCAATAAGAATGGGGACCTGCCGTGGCCCTCCCTCAGGAATGAATTCAAGTATTTCCAGAGAATGACCACATCCTCAGTTAGGAGGTAAACAGAATTTGATGATTATGGGAAGGAAGATATGGTTCTCTATTCTGGAGAAGACTCAACCTTTAAAGGAAGGAATTAATTTAATGCTCAGTAGAGATCTCAAGGAACCTCCACAAGAAGGTCATTTTCTTGCCAAAAGTCTGTATGATCCCTTAAAATTTATTGAGCAGGGGCACCTGGGTGGCTCAGTGGTTGAGCGTCTGTCTGTCTTTGGCTCAGGTCATGATCCCCAGGTCCTGGGATGAGTCCTGCATTGGGTCCGCATGGAGCCTGCTTCTCCCTCTGCCTTCTTGCTCTGTTGGTGAGAATGTGAACTGGTATGGCCACTCTGGAAAACTGTGTGGAGGTTCCTCAAAGAGTTAAAATAGAGCTACCCTATGACCCAGCAATTGCACTGCTGAGGATTTACCCCAAAGATACAGATGCAGTGAAAAACCGAGACCCTTGCACCCCAGTGTTTATAGCAGCAATGTCCACAATAGCCAAACTGTAGAAAGAGCCTTGGTGTCCATCGAAAAATGAATGGATAAAGAAGCTGTGGTCTATGTATACAATGGAATATTACTCAGCCACTAGAAACGACAAATACCCACCATTTGTTTCAACGTGAATAGAACTGGAGGGTATTATGCTGAGTGAAGTAAGTCAATCGGAGAAGGACAAACATTATATGGTCTCATTCATTCAGGGAATATAAAAATAGTTAAAGGGATTAAAGGGGAAAGGAGAGAAAATGAGTGGGAAATATCAGTAAGGATGACAGAACATGAGAGACTCCTAACTCTGGGAAATGAACAAGGGGTGGTGGAAGGGGAGGTGGGCAGGGGGATGCAGTGGCTGGGTGACAGGAACTGAGGGGGGCACTTGGTGGGATGAGCACTGGGTTATATGGTATATGTTGGCAAATTGAACTCCAATAAAAAAAATATACAAAAAAAAAAAAAGAAACAGCAATTGGAAAAATGCCTGGGGCATATGGGAGGGAGAATTATTTGTAAATCTTAGAGTTTGCTGAAGGACTTCTTCAGGAACAAATGAGCTGGCAAATGTCATTTCTCTCCCCAGTGCCCTAGCACAAACACAGGGCCACCTGCAGAAACCAGCACAGTATTGGCATTTGCTACCTAACTGCTTATACCACACCCTGCCCCTTCTAGCTTGGCCTGATCCCATCCAAGCACTGTAGGTCCCGTCCCCTAAAAGACTAGTGTAACCTTGTCAACATTGCGTATCTGGACTGCACATTTTGCAGGACCTCAGTCCTGTCAGTGAGCTGGCAGGTCACCTCCCATGAGGATGCACACATCTTATTGAAACTGCCTGCCCCATCTTAGCAGCTGTGTATCCTCTGTGGAAAAGAACCAGCTTGTACAACTTGTGGGCTACAAGGCCCCTGCCTGCATATGCTTTGTGAAGCAGCCCCCTCCAGCCCTAGTCTCTGTGGCAGCTGCTCATCCCCTATGGAAAAGGATTGGCACCACCTTGCTAAAAATGTGTACCCTGCCCACTACTTTTAAAAGCAAGAGACATAGTTGACTTTCCTACCAAACAGAAACAGACACAGAGAGTTAGACAAAATGAGACAGATGAATAAGTAACAAATGAAAGAACAGGACAAAATTACAGCAAAAGACCTAAGCAAAATGTAGATAAGTAATATGCCTGACAGAGAATTTAAAGTACTGATCATAAAAATACTCACTAGACTTGAGAAAAGAGTGGAAGACAACAGTGAGGCCTTTAACAAAAAGAAAAAAGAACCAATCAGAGATAAAGAACACAATAATTGAAATTAAAAAATACACTAGATGGAACAAATAACAGGTTAGAAGAAGCATAAGAACATATCAGCAATCAGGAAGACAGAGCAATGGAAACTAATTAAGCTGAGCAGGTGAGAGAAAAAAGTTTTGCAAAATTAGAATGGACTTGGGGAACTTAGTGACTCCATCAAGTGTAATAACATTTGAATTATAGAGATCCCAGAAGAGAGAGAAAAGGGATCAGAAAATTTATTGGAAGAAATAATACCTGAAAACTCCCAAATTAGGGAAAGGAAACAGAAATTCAGATCCAGGAGGCACAGAGATCTCCCAACAAAATCAACCCAAAGAGGTCTACACAAAACACATAGTAATTAAAATAGCAAAAAGCAGTGATAAAGAAGGAATTGTAAAAGCAGGAGGAGAAAAGAAAACACTTGATGTAAATACAAGGGAAACCTCAGAAGGCCAGATTGTTCAACAGAAACTATGCAGGCCAGAATAAAGTGGCAAAATATATTCCAAATGCTGAAAGGGAAAAAAAATCTGTGTCCATTGATAGATGAATGGATAAATAAGAGTGTCATAGACACACACACTGGAATATTATTTTGCCATAAAAAAGAAGAATGAAATATTGCCATTTGCAACAACATGGATAGTTCTAGAAGAGTATAATGCTAAGCAAAATAAGCCAGAGAAATACAAATACCATATGATTTCACTCATGTGAAATTTAAGAAACAAAACAAATGAACAAAGGAAAAAAAAGAGAGAGATAAACTAAGAAACAGACTCAAGTAGAGAACAAACTGATGGTTACCAGAAGGGAGGTGGATCGGGGTGGGTGGGTGAAATAGGTGATGGGGATTAAGGAATGCACTTGTCATGGTGAGCATTGACTAATATATAGAATTATTGAATCACTATATTGTATACCTGAAATGAATATAACACTGTATGTTAACTACACTGGACTTAAATTTTTTAAAAAATAAAAGTAAAATTAAAAGCCTATTTTTTTTAAAAATTTATTTATTTATGATAGTCACAGAGAGAGAGGCAGAGACATAGGCAGAGGGGGAAGCAGGCTCCATGTACCGGGAACCCGATATGGGATTCGATCCCGGGTCTCCAGGATCGTGCCCTGAGCCAAAGGCAGGCGCCAAACCGCTGTGCCACCCAGGGATCCCTAAAAGCCTATTTTTATCTTACTCCTGCCATTTTAGTCTCTGCCCTTAGGTAAACATAGTTTAAAAAATTATTGTATATATTTCTGGACCTTTTCCTCTGAGTGTATCTGCTTAAAGGGGTTGCAAAAAAAATGTAAGAGGCTAATATAGTTTGTTTAAAAATGTATAAAATCGAATCAGAAGTAGCACCTCAGCTTGGAATGCCTGAAAACAGGCAAATGCTGGTGTTCTCAATGAGGGGTGAACATAATTGCCACCACAGCTGCCAAGATGGATGAACAATACTTTTTCTTTATTTTCACTATTTGATGATGAAGAGGACAATTTTAGAACAATTCTAAAATCAAAAATTTAAAAATTTATATTTTTATTGGGGCACTTGAGTGATACAGTCATTTGGGTGCCTCTTGGTTTTGGTTCAGATCATGATCTCGGGGTCTTGAGATTAAGCCCTACTAAGGTCAGCACAGAGTCTGCTTGAGATTTTTCTCTCCCTCTCCCCCAGCCCTTCCCCTGCCCCCACCTCACACTTTCTCTCTCTCTCTCAAATAAATAAATCCTTTATTTAAAAAAGATCTGAAAAGGCTACATACATGATTACAACTTTATGATATTCTGGATAAGGCAAAACTACAAAGATAGTAAAAAAGATCAGTTGGTTGTCAGCAATTGGAGAGCAAAAGGAAGTTGGTGGGAGGAATGAATAGGCAGCACACGGGATTTTTAGAGCAGTGAAATACTCTGATAACGATGGATACATGTCATTATATATTTGTGCAAACCCACAGAACATACAACATCAAGAGGGAACTGTAAGGTAAAATATGGATTTTGGTGATAATACTATGTCAATGTAGATGGGTTGTTTTTTTTTTTTTTTTTTATGATAGTCACACACAGAGAGAGAGAGAGAGAGGCAGAGACACAGGCAGATGGAGAAGCAGGCTCCATGCACCGGGAGCCCGATGTGGGATTCGATCCCGGGCCTCCAGGATCGCGCCCCGGGCCAAAGGCAGGCGCTAAACCGCTGCGCCACCCAGGGATCCCAGATGGGGGTTTTGATAATAGAGGAGGCTTTGCATGTGTGGGGCTAGGGGATATATGGGAAATCTCTGTAACTTCCCTTCAATTTTGCTATGAATCCAAACTACTCTAAAAACATAAGGTTTTTCTTAATTGAAATATAGTTGATATACAATGTTGTATTAGTTTCAGGTGTAGAACATGATTCAATAATTCTATACATTATACAATCCTCACCACAGTAAGTGTAGTTACCATCACCATACAAAAGTATTATATTATTATTGACTATATTCTCTATGGTATATTTTTCATCCCCATGGCTTATTAATTTTATAGCTGGAAGTTTGTACCTCTTAATCACCTTCACCTATTTTGTCCAACCTTTCTCTTCCCCCTTCCCTCTGGCAACTGCCAGTTTATTCTGTTTTAGTCTGTTTCTGGTTTTTTTTTATTTCCAAATATAAATGAAATCATATGGTATTTGTCTTTCTCTGAATTATTTCACTTAGCATAATACCCTTTAAGTCCATTCATTTTGTTGCAAGTGGCAATCTTTTTTATGGCTGAGTAATATTCTAATATATATATATTATATATATCATACACACATACACACACAAAGAGACACCCCGTATCTTCTTTATCCATTCATCTAGGGACTATGGGTGGACACTTAGGTTGTTTCCATAGCTTGACTGTTATAAATAATACTGCAATAAACATAAGGGTTCATATAACTTTTCAAAGTACTGTTTTCCTATTCTTTGGGCAAATGCCCAGCAGTGCTATTACTGGATTGTATGGTATTTCTATTTTTAACTTTTTTTTTATGATAGTCACAGAGAGAGAGAGAGAGAGAGAGAGAGAGAGAGAGAGGCAGAAACACAGGCAAAGGGAGAAGCAGGCTCCATGCACCAGGAGCCTGACGTGGGATTTGATCCCGGGTCTCAAGGATCGCGCCCTGGGCCAAAGGCAGGCGCCAAACCGCTGCGCCACCCAGGGATCCCTATTTTTAACTTTTTGAAGAACCTCCATACTGTTTTCCAAAGTGCTGCACTAATTTTTATCCTACCAACAGTGCACAAGGGTTTCCTTTTCTCCACATCCTCACCAATGCTTGTTGTTTCTTGTCTTTTTGAGAATAGCCATTCTGACTGGAATGAGGTGACATCTCATTGTAGTTTTTATCTGCATTCCCCTGCTGGGTGATGTTGATCATTTTCTCATGTGTTTGTCATCTCTACGTTTTTTTTGGAAAAAAATGTCTATTTAGGTATTTTGGCCATTTTTTAATCAGGTTTTTTTTTTTTTTTTTAGTTGTATGAATGCTTTATTTATTTTGGATATTAACCCCTGACCAGATATATCATTTGCAAATATCTTCTGCCATCTAGAAGGTTGCCTTTTGTTTTGTTGATGGTTTCCTTCATTGTGCAAAATCCTTTTAAGTTGGATATAATCCCAATTGCTTATTTTTACTTTTGTTTTCCTTGCCTCAGGAAAGATATCCAGAAAAATATAGCCAAGGTCAATGTCCAAGAAATTATTGCCTATGTTTTCTTTTAGGAGTTTTATGGTTTCAGGTCTTACACTTAAGTCTTTAATCCATTTTGAGTTTACTCTTGTGTACAGTGTAAGAAAGTGATCCAGTTTTCCCAACACCATTTATTGAAGAGACTGTTTTCCCCATTGTATATCACTTCCTTGTCATAGATTAATTGACCATATAATCATGGGTTTATTTCTGGCCTCTCTCTTCTGTTCCATTGGTCTTTGTGCCTATTTTTGTGCCAGTACCATACTGTTTTGATTACTGTAGTTTTGTAGTATATCTTAAAATCTGGAATTGTGATATCTTCAGTTTTGTTCTTTCTTAAGGCTGCTTTGGCTATTTGGAGACTTTTGTAGTTCCATACATATTTGAGGATTTTTGTTCTAGTTCTATGAAAAATGCTATTGATATTTTGATAGGGATTCCTTTTGAATCTGTAAGTTGCTTTGTGTAATATGGGCACTTTAACAATGTCAATTCTTCTAATTCATGAGCATGCCGTATCTTCTATTTGTTTGTGTCATCTTCAATTTCTTTCATCAATGTCTCATAGTTTTCAGAATACAGGTCTTTTACTTCCTTGATGAAATTCATTCTTAGTAGCTTACTCTTTTTAATGCAATTATAAATGGGATTGTTTTAATTTTTCTTTCTCCTACTTCATTATTAATGTATAGAGCATAAGGTCTTAATTTTGCTTTATTTTTTTATTTTTTTAAATTTTGCTTTAAAGATTTTATTTATTTTAGAAATAGAGAGCACGCATGTGCACAAGTAGAGGCAGAGTGGTGGTGTGGCTAAATAAACAAATGCACAAAGCTGGTCATCATGTATAAACTATATTTTAAAACTGAAAAATCCAGTATTTTTCATTCAAAGTTTATCTATTGCTTGCTAAAATATGAGATCCTCCAGATACTTTTGTTGTGCACATTCCTTGTGTCTTGGCCAGGAACAGAAAGAACACTGGCTAAAAGACAGAGGCATGGGGGGATCCCTGGATGGCTCAGCGGTTTAGCGCCTACCTTCAACCTAAGGCGTGATCCTGGGATCCCGGGGTCGAGTCCCACGTCGGGCTCCCTGCATGAGCCTGCTTCTCCCTCTGCCTATGTCTCTGCCTCTGTGTCTCTCATGAATTAATAAATAAAATCTTTAAAAAAAGAAAAGAAAAGAAAAAGACAGAAGCATGGTCACACAGTGGACCACTGTTGTCACCCTAAGCCACTTAATTTCCCTGGGATCCTATTATTCATCTGTAAAATGCAGATCGCTAAGGCCCTTTTCACTGTGAGTCAAGCCCTGTATAACAGGGGTTTACACTCTTTTCCAAAGGATGTTTGAAGACTGTTTCCTGTTTGAAAACAAAGGGGTAAGAGAGGGACTGATATACAAGAAACTGAACATGTCAAGTTTTACCATGGTTTTAATTATTGAAACAAAATTAACATAAGTAGAATCATGTGCAACAGTGTCTCTAACATATGGAAGAGGTAAATATGAATTTTATACAATAAGGTATATTATCCACTGTAACAAATTTCCAATAATTTGGCATTTATCTTTCAAAAAATGTCTCCCAAATTCTAAGCAAAGTATGCAAATTGGAGATTAACTCTAAGCAGGCATAATTATCTTCTTATCCAGTTTTTCTGAAGAGACTGAAGAGTTCAGGTCTGACCAAGATATTGATGGTGAGTATGAGAATTCTCTCCTCCGTATCTCTAAGCTTCCAGCTCCACAACTATAGCTACTGGCCCAGATAGGTCAAGCATAGTGACACAGTGCCCAATGTAGAATTAACAACTAGATTGTATTTGTTTCAATATAACTTTATGATTAAAGCATAAAAACCTATCAGCATGAAGAAGAACCAAAGCATTTGGGATTAGTTCAATAAATGCATCATCTTCAAAGCTGAAAAAAAGAAAATAGATTTGTTAGCAATACATTTATTTAGATTATAGATTGCACCACCAAATTTGTCTAACTTCTGCTGTGTAAATCACTGTTTGTAAAAGAAATAGCTACAGACAATTTTCCAAACCCATTATAAAGAGCATATCCCATTAATTTATTCCCTTGGCTCTCTCACAACCTTAGAGGAAAAAATGCTGGTATTAGAGTTCAGACCCTGGCCCTCCCATTTAGTAACTGTGTGATTCCAGGGAGGTCACCCAAACTCTCTGATGCTCTGTCAAGTTAATTTCCCTATGCTAGAATGTAACAGGAAATTTGAATAGGTTTTTAGTACCATGGTACCCAGTAGAGATGAATTTCACTGAAAAGCTGGATTTTTTACCTCTGGACTCCAACCAACAATGCAGAGAAGTACAATTCCTCCCCCTTTCACACTGCTTGAAGTTTCTATAGATACATGTATTATAGTATCCTTACATTGCATTATAACAGTCCGTTTCCATTTCTCTACTTTGTTGGACTAGGAGCCTCTAGAAGGCAAACAGTGCCCACACACTGAAGCTAAACAAGAGATTGAAGGAATGGGGTATCTGTAAAAACCATGTCACTCCTGTCTTGGGGCTGAATAATAAAGCAACTGCTATGCAAAGGAAGAGAACAATTCATTTCTGAAGGCCCAGAGATGCCCACCATAGAAATGGATGAAGAAAGATCAAATCCTCACAACTAGTGTGGGTAACTGGCTGCCTCTACCACATTACAGTGCCCCAACAGCTCCTCTGACTATGTGGAGGGCTAGTGACACTGGCAGCATTAGACCGTTCTCATGCCACTCCCCAGGAAAAGAAAATGTATTCCCTGGAGGATTCTCGCTTATCTGCTGAAATGCCACCCTAATTAATGTCTTCCCTATAATGAGGGTTATCCTACAAGGTTGTCTATAAATAGTCCCCAGGACAGTCAAACAAGGAAAGTATTTTCTTAAGGTTAGAAACCTACCTGTGATGCTAGTTAGTTGTCTCGGTCTACAAAAAAGAAAACCAAGAAAGACAGTAAGTTTTACTTTTAAGATATTATGTATCAACAAATGTCTAAAACTTATAAATGAGGCTGTTAGAATAGCCTGCTGTCCCTAACTATGAATACCCAGTAAGTCCCAACCTTGCCTTCTGGTCTCAGATCCCAACCCAGCTGCGAGTACCAAACAAGATACAAGGATAGCAGATCATACAAAGGCCTGTGGCTCCCTGAGACTTTTGATGGTTGTAAGTATCCATGAGGCTGTCAGGAAAGCGCAAGGCAGCCAGTTAGGTAAGAAACACTGGGAGTTTGGGACATCTGGGTGGCTCAGTGGTTGAGCACCTGCCTTCAGCCCAGAGCATGATCCTGGAGTTCCGGGATCAAGTCCCACATCGGGCTCCCTGTATGGAGCTGTTTTCTCTCTGTGTGTCTCATGAATTAATAAATAAAATCTTTAAAAAAAAAAAAAGAAAGAAAGAAAGAAATATTGGGAGTTCATGTGCATTTGTGCAGGTGCTGGCTGCCTGCTGCTACTTCTCCCTGCTTTTGCTGCAGGAAAACTGTTTCAGGCATCATGCTGTGCTGAGGTCTCTCAGCAGGTCCCACTTAAGCAGAGCTTTATAGTTAGTGTTCCCTGCCAATCCCAGCATGCGTTTTTTTTTTAAAAAAACATCAAAGCATCTTTAAGCTGTGCCTGTGCTCAGATACAATTGTTAGTAGCTGAGGAAAGAACATAGAAACTTACCCCACTTAACGATCTGGGGCTCACTGAGAGTAACATGCTTCACACGGCAGCTAAACTCATCCTGCTCATTGGGAGTGAATTCAGTGTGGACCAGAAGATAGAAGGTCCAGTCCTTGCTGAAAGACAGGTCTGTCTGTTCTGCTTTCATCTCCTTTCCGTTCTTCAACAAATCAATTTCAATCTCTGGTGGATGGAACCCTGACACGTAGCAGTTCAGGAAATTTGGCTTTCCATTCTCTGCTGGGTGTCGTGAGTACACTTGAATCTTTGGGGAATCTGTGGGACATGAGGGAAAGACAAATGAAAATTGCAGAGTATTTCACCTGGGGCTACCTTGGTCTAAAGTTAGATCAGGCAAGGAATGTTTAAATTTGATCATTGGGATCCCTGGGTGGCGCAGCGGTTTGGCGCCTGCCTTTGGCCCAGGGCGCGATCCTTGAGACCCGGGATCAAATCCCACGTCAGGCTCCCGGTGCATGGAGCCTGCTGTGTCTCTGCCTCTCTCTCTCTCTCACTGTGTGCCTATCATAAATAAAAATTTTAAAAAAAATTATTTAAAAAAAAATAAAAATAAATTTGATCATTGAGGGATGTCTGGGTGGCTCAGGAGTTGAGCGCCTGCCTTCGGCCCAGGGTGTGATCCTGAAATCCTAGGATCGAGTCCCACGTCAGGCTCCCTGCATGCCGCCTGCTTCTCTCTCTGCCTGTGTCTCTGCCTCTCTCTCTGTGTGTCTCTCATGAATAAATAAATACAATCTTTAAAAAAAAATTTGATCATTGATTTGTCCTAATTCCATTTCCACTCTGGCCAAATGAGGTTCCACTTTTCCAAAAGGCTACCTCCATTTTGAGGGATAAACCATGCCTTAGTATCTTTTTCACATAATTGTTCTACTCATGGCTTTTTGTTTGTTTCTAGCAGGTTTCTAGTAGCATCATCTTCTATCTCTGGATTTTGTGCCAAAGAATTTTAAAGATTCATAAATCTTTAAGAACTTTTCTGTAGAGACTCTCAAGAACTTTTGATGGATTCTTAGCACCCATATAATTCCTCTACACATCTCACAAGAGTTCTCATGATTTGGCCCCAATCTCTTTTTTAAACTTCACTTCTGGGATCCCTGGGTGGCGCAGCAGTTTGGCGCCTGCCTTTGGCCCAGGGCGCGATCCTGGAGACCCGGGATCGAATCCCACATCGGGCTCCCGGTGCATGGAGTTTGCTTCTCCCTCTCCCTATGTCTCTGCCTCTCTCTCTCTCTCTCTCTCTGTGACTATCATAAATAAATAAAAAAAAACTTAAACTTCACTTCTCACTTCACACACTCTCCAAATATTTTTTTTCTTTTTAATGTTTACTCCTTTCCTTTTTAGTTCATGATCCTGCCTAGATCCCCGCCCATCTGACTTCTCAATATGTATTAAGTGTCTGGCACACAGCAATTGCTCTGTAAATGGCAGATTATTATTATTATTACTTCAAACAAAATGCCTACAGAAGCCAGAAATACCATAAATGAGTGAATTGGGCTGGGTAAGAACAATAGGGAAGGGTGATGACTGTGCAAATGAGAAAGAACATACTCTCTGTTGTGACCAAAGTAAAGTGTGCAAGACTGGGATCTGCACTTTTTTTTATATTATTTTATTTATTTATTCATGATAGTCACAGAGAGAGAGAGAGAGAGAGAGAGAGAGAGAGAGGCAGAGACACAGGCAGAGGGAGAAGCAGGCTCCATGCACCGGGAGCCCGACGTGGGACTCGATCCCGGGTCTCCAGGATCGCGCCCTGGGCCAAAGGCAGGCGCCAAACCGCTGTGCCACCCAGGGATCCCAGGATCTGGATTTTTAACTAGCACCCTTAAGTGATGGCTATAACTAGCCATATTGGGAATACATTGCTGTAGAACAATAGTTTCCAAAATGGAATGCATAACTAGACCATCCCTGGGGATAAGGAAAGAAGCTATCATAAACTCCATTTCTATATTTTTCATCCAGTGAAGAGAAGTGTTACTGTTACTAAATGAAGATTGACACTAAAGTGTCTAATTCACTTTTAAATACACATACATGCAGTGTATATGCAGTGTATATGGTTACTAAAGGGCAGCAACTCTGTGTCCAGCAGGTGGTGGGGAAGAGGAGTACTAGGCTACTCTGACCAGGTCTATCTGTCTAGAAACACCCTATCATAAAAGGAAAGGTCACCAGCCCCACTAGGAACTAGACTGGTGATCCCAAAGAAGCCCTGATTTTTTTTTCCCATAAAGTTAAAAGTGAAGACAAATCAGATCGCTCTTTGTATCAGAACTTCTAATAATTAGAACACAATAAATGCCACAAGAGTCAGAGTACAGGTTCATCAGGCGTAGAATTCTCTCTTTGAGGGAGGCAGGCAGGGTTCTGCAAAAATATCACAATAATCTCTTCTAAGAGGAGGACACCTATCAGACAAGACCTGGGTTTGAATTTGAATTCTGTTTCTGTTTCTGTGACTTTGGGACAGTTAGTTGAGCTTCTGAAGTTTAACTGAAAAGTCAATTTATGTCTACAGTGAAACAAAACTCACACATGGGACAGAGCAAAAAACAGACCCCCAGAGGCAATCATCACTACCCTTTTCTTGTGTATCTTCTAGAAGTGATTTATTCATGGCATGTATTACTTTGGAAATTTTCAAATTCAGATTTTTCTTTTAATATCAGCTTGTTATTTTTAAAAAGATTTCTATGATTTCTATGAAAAAAATAAATAAAATAAATTTTAAAAAATAAAAAGATTTCTATGGTCACCCGCAAATATCAATAATGGCATCTGTGCTTTATTTTGTAAATAGATTATAAATTAAATACCTTTTTTTTTCATGAGCAAAACACCCCCGCTTCACAGAGGCTTTTGTGAGGGGAAAATGTGAGGCTTCTGGTATATTGCAGGATATTTTAGAACGTGCTCAAGATCTACAGCGTCCCTGACGGGCGACCTGGGTAACCAAGTTGATGGCCATTATCACTGGCAAGGTTTTACAATCCTTGCCTGATAAACCTTTGCTTTTTTCAAAACAGAAAGTAGAAGCTTAGTTCATCCTGGAAAGAACCAGGCAAAGAGCCAAAGAGGAAGCCCTCTGCGAAGAAAAGGCAACAAGGGCTCCTGGCTCTCTAGCCTCCTGGCAAAAACCTAACACCCAAACGCGAGGAGGAGATACTGAAAAACCGCAAAGATCGCAGCCAAAGGGCGCCCACGCCCACAAAAAGCCCAGGTCCCGCTCGACTCTCTGCCGTTTCCCCCCGCCCCCCGTTTTCCCCCCGGTGTTGTGTGATGAAGTTGCTTAAACTTTTGGTGTCTCGGGATGCCCGGGGGGCTCAGCGGCTGAGCGCCTGCCTTCAGCTCAGGGCGTGATCCCGGGGTCCGGGGATCGAGTCCCGCATCAGGCTCCCTGCGTGGAGCCTGCTTCTCCCTCTGCTGTGCTGTGTCTCTGCCTCTCGCTCTCTCTCTCTGTCTCTCAAGAATAAAAAAATAAAAACAAACAAACAAACAAAAAAAAAAAACAAAAAAACCTCTTGGTGTCTCAGTTTCCTTATCCTGGAAATGCCGGTGATCGTAAGCATTGTATGGACATCGTAGTCTCGGAATCAAATGGCATAAAGCACAAAACGTCCCCAGCAGGCTCCCTATCAATAACGACGTGCTCTTAGGATTCTTAAAAGCGACAAGTAACAGGAACAAGTGAATTAATGATGTCAAGGCGCTTTGTAGCCCCTCAAGACGGTTTACGAAATCCACGGCGGTGCCGCCGCGCTTGTGTGGGGGTATTTGTGGGGCGGCGGGAGGCGGGCGCGGGGGGAAGCCCGAAGCGGCGGGTCCGAGCCGAGCGGCTGCAGCGCTGCCCCGGGGCCCGCGCCGCGCCGCCCGCGAAGCCCAGACTGACGTCCCGGCCCTTTGACCGCGCTGGACTCCGCGTCTGTAGGACCCGCCCTCCGAGGCAGCTGCCCCCGGGGAGCGAGCCCCCACCTCGGTCGCCCCGAAATCTGTCATCACCCGGAAACTTTGTTCCGACCCGCCCGGGGCCTCGCGCGCCCCCCTGTCCCCAAGAAGAAGAGAAGAGGCGCGCACGCCCTGCCGACCCCACTCCCCGGCCGCGGCGAGCCCCGGGTCGGAAGGAGACCAGCGAGGAGGCGGGGAGGGGTTACAGAGCTAGTGCCGCGAGCGCCAGAGAGGCCGGGGCCCAGGGGCCGGGCTGGGGCCGGGCTGGGGCCGGAGGGGACACTCACGCTGCACGGCATCCAGGCGGCACACATAGATGAGGATGAGGAGCAAGGCCAGGAAACCAGCCATCACCAGCCCGGGGCGAGGAGCCATCGCCGCAGAGCGCCGGCACCGCGGGACGGGAGACTGGCCCGCCCGCCCGCCCGCGCCGCCGCTATATAGTCGGGGCGCGCGCCGCCAATCAGAGCCCTGCTGGCGGGCGCTGTCACTCGTCTCCGGGCGCGCGAGGCCCAGCCAGGTTAGAAAGACGGACTCTCCCGTTTTCAGTTTCATTTCCCATAAAGTCTCGTGATTCTAAGAAGGCCTGGTTTGGACCGGGTGGGTGGTTTTGCTGCCTATCAACCCGCGCGCTCCTACTTGGCAGCACGGCAGAGCTTGGGGAGAGGGCCCCCTGCCCTAGAACTCTGGGCTGGACCGCCCGCGGCCCCGCATCCGGGCCTGGAGGACCCTCCAGCCTCAGAACGACTTCTTACCACGTCCCGGACGGGTCCCACCCGAGGACCTGTGCTTTCCGTTCGAGAAAACTCAAGCCCAGAAAGCTGAAGGGAGTGGACAAAGGATGAACGGTGCAGGGCAGAATAAGAACTTCAGTGAAGGGCAGCCCGGGTGGCTCAGCGGTTTAGCACCGCCTTCAGCCCGGGGCGGGATCGAGTCCCGTGTCCGGGCTCCCTGCGTGGAACCTGCTTCTCCCTCTGCCTGTGTCTCTCTGTCTCTCATGGATAAATAAATAAAATCTTAAAAAAAGAGAGAGGGAGAGAGAGAGGGAGGGAGAGAGAGAGAGAGATTGAGAGAGAGAACTTTGATTAATAACTACGGCCCAGGAATTTAATGTAGGGTTTCTGGATTCTTTGGGCGAGAAAAGTAGTCCAGGAACCCCGAAGCCTTCTGAGGACAGCTCAGAGACCGTCCAGAGTGGACAAGGACCTCCTTACTTACTGAATTCCTTCAGGCGAAAGATTCTGTTTGTAAATAAGGCCCCTTGCCAAGCAATTATTCTCTGTATCTTCCTGCCATTGTTAGGTAATTTTCTTTGTTTTGTTGATTTGTAGGGAAACCAACCACTGACGGCAAAAGCCATAACCGCCTAGAGTGTACAGACCCCTTTGGTACATCATCCCTGCCAGTTACCATACTAGAAGGCTTGGCACATAATTGGTATTTGGTAAATGAAATGAATGAATGAATGAATGAATGAGTAGTTGAATGAAAAAACAAACCAGTAAATATGGGAATAAACAGTAGGAAATTGGAATTACCCCCATTAATTTTTATGGATAAGGGAAAATAAAAACTGAAACTAGGACTCAAACTCTCCTGACATTGCATTCGTGCTTTAGACACTTGGAAGATAAGGGCTTTGACATTTTAGTGAGAATTGGGATTGCATCATCCATGGGCTCAGCCAAAGAAGTCAAACCTACTGACTGTAAGAACATAATAATGTTAGACCCCTTAAGAGAACCTAAACTTTAGAGATATCATGAAAAAGATGCTGACATCACATGGCAGCTGAGTTCTCCAGTCTGTGGATGGAACAGTGAGGAGAGGAAGTGAACCTTGGGAGTGAGAGGACAGAGATCTTGGAAATCACCATGGTTTTCAGTTAAAAGGAGTTGGGTTGTGATTCCCCAAGGAAACAACAAATAAGTTATATATTTCTTTTACATATTTTTAGACCTTGTAATAACCCCTATTGTGGAAGCTATGTCTGAACTAGAAAAAGTAGAATAATCTCCACAGACCTAATGAAATGAGATAATGCACAGAAAGCCTCACACAGTTCCTCACAGTGTTCTGTTTAACAAATGTACTATAATTATTGATGTTATTTACCTAGTTTTCCTTCCAGCTGTATCGATAATTCTCTTGAAATATAATTGTTATGCATAAAGTTATGAGTAAAGACATTCTTGCTTCTCCCATTTGTTTGTTTGTGTTTTTAAACTCATTTAAGGCTCCTAAGGCCTGAAATGTTCTTATTTAATTGTTTTTAGTGCCCTGGGAGTCTAGGAAGACACAGGGCTATTTTTCACCTCTAAATTCTCTGTTTACTATATCACAGAGAAATATGATACTTAACATTCATTACAGACAGATTCTGATCTATTCACTTAGAAAACCAACTTAAAAAGCAATTTTAAAATACATCAAAGGCAGTGAAAAGTATATTTTTCAGTTTTCTGTGTTTGGGGAACTCCTATATTTTTCTTAAATTTATTTATGACATGCTTTTGAATAGTGAGAATGAAGAATATTTTTTATTTTTTTTTTTTTTTTTTTTTTTTTTAAAATTTTTTTTTTATTTATTTATGATAATCAGAGAGAGAGAGAGAGAGGCAGAGACACAGGCAGAGGGAGAAGCAGGCTCCATGCACCGGGAGCCCAACATGGGACTCGATCCCGGGTCTCCAAGATCGCGCCCCGGGCCAAAGGCAGGCGTCAAACCACTGCGCCACCCAGGGATCCCTGAAGAATATTTTTTAATATAAAGCTTTAAAAAAATTATTTATTTATTTATTTATTTATTTATTTGAGAGAGAGAGAGAGCCCAGGGAGGGGGGTGCTAGCAGAAGGAGAGGGAGAGAGCATCCCAAGCAGACTCTGTGCTGAGTGTGGAGACTGATATGGGACTCCATCTCACAACCCTGAGACTGTGACCTGAGCCAAAACCAAGGGTCAGATGCTTAATTGACTGTACCACCCAGGTACCCCAAAACTTTTTTTTTAATTTTTTTTAATTTATTTATGATAGTCACACAGAGAGAGAGAGAGAGAGAGAGAGGGGCAGAGACACAGGCTGAGGGAGAAGCAGGCTCCATGCACCGGGAGCCCGATGTGGGATTCGATCCCGGGTCTCCAGGATCGTGCCCTGGGCCAAAGGCAGGCGCCAAACCGCTGCGCCACCCAGGGATCCCCCAAAACTTTTTTTTTAATTGAGAGCACTGTTTGTTTAGTAGGGTAAACTTGTGGAAATCTACAATTTAATGTTATCTCTCAGTTGTGGCAAAAACAGCTGGATTTTCTTTCTTTTTTTTTTTTTTCCTATATGACCATCCTAAATTTTTTTTTTACAATGAATGTTTATTCAAAATAGTAAATATTTCAGGGTGCCTGGGTGGCTCAGTCAGTTAAGTGCCTGACTCTTGGTTTCAGTTCAGGTCATGATCTCAGGGTCATGAGATCAAGTCTTGAGTTGGGCTCCATGCTCATTGAGGAGTCTGCTTGAAGATTCTCTCTCTCTCTTTCTCAAATAAATAAAATAATTCTTTAAAAAAATAGTAAATATTTTCAAGAATGTGGAAGAACTGGAATTCTCATAACCTCCTAGTGGGAATGTAAAATGATAAAATCACTTTGGAAAATAATTTGACAGTTTCTTAAAAAGTTAAACATATATTGGCCTTATGATCCAGCTATTCTAAGTATTTACCCAAGGGAAAATAAAAGCATATGTTCATACAAAAATCTGTACACAAAAATCCATAGCAGCTTTATTTGTAATAGCCAAAAGCTAGAAACAATCCAAACATCCATCAACAGATGACTGAATAAACAAATTGTGGTTATACCTATTGAGTGGAACGCTATCAGCAATAAGCAAGGAATGAAGTGCTGACATACACAACAACACAGATGAAATAATTATGCCAAATGAAAGAGGCCAGACAAAAAAAGAGTATATTCTGTATGATTCTGTTTGTATAAAACTCTAGAAAAGACAGACTCGTCTATGTAACAGAAAGCAGATGAGTGGTTTTGGGAAAGTACAGAGTAGGAGAGAGGAGCATAAAGAAACTTTAGGGTTGATGGACAGGAGTTTATCTTGAGTTTGATGATTTCATGGATGTATACATATTTTAGAACTTACTAAACTGTATATATATATTTTTAAAACTGTATATTTTAAGTGCAATTTATTGTATGTCAATTATACCCGAGTAAAGCTGCTGAAAAAAAAAAAAAAAGCACAGATACCTGTATTGTTGTTAGGCAAAAGAATAATGAACTGCTTGAACAAAAAGAAAAAGAATGGTACTAAAGTGGGAAGAAAATAGGAATAGGTTAAATATCAAATGAGCTTGCTTGCACCTGAGTGGATTTCGATCAGCAGTTTTCTGAGATGGGCCCATCCAAACAGCCAGAAAAGCTAGGTCCTCTCAAGAGGAGAGTGCCAAGCATAGGTAGGACATTTGTTCCAGGGCTTTTTCAAATGTTATGTCATTAATCCCTTTCAGTTCAAAGTGTGGTCTATACATCACTGGCATCAGCAAAATTTAGGATTTCTTAGAAATGCAGGCTCTTGGGCCTATCCCAGACCTATTAAAACAGTCTGCATTTTAACAACATTCTGATTGATCCATATACAAATTAAAGTTTGTGAAGCTGCTAACCCAAACCACACAACAATCTAGAAGGTAGGTGTTACTTTCATTTACAGATAAGGAGATAGAAAAGTAAGATTCTTGCCCACCTTCATACTAGGCTGGGATTCAAACACTAGTCCATCTGAATCCAACAGCCCCATAATTTCCACTAGAAAATCACTTTCAGAAAGTGGTTCATAGGAAGGATTTGTTGGTTGGCTTGAAGATCTGGGCAATGGTTAAAAGCATAGAAGGTATATGCACATGATAGAAAATTGGAACATACTAAAAACTATAAAGAAGAAAATTAGGGGTACCTGGGTGGCTCAGTTGGTTAAGCATCTGCCTTCTGCTCGGGTCATGATCCCAGCCTCTTGGGATCAAGCCCTGAGTCTAAGAGTCTGCTTCTCCCTCTGCCCCTCCTCCACTCATGCTCTTATGCTCACTCCCTCTCTCTCTCTCTCTCTCAAATAAAAAAATAAAATCTTTAAAAAAATTAAAACTGGTAATCCTACAACCCAGAGATGACTATTGTTAAATGGTTTAATTAAAGGAGTTTGAAGATTGTTGCCTGCTCAAAAGTGCATCCTAGTTACATCTGTCTGGGGACTGGAAGTCCTCAATCTTTTGTGTTAAATTCCATTAAACTGAGCAAATGTCAGTTAAGTGCAGGCTTTGTGGAAAGCACTGTAACAATAAAGCAGAAGGGTACAACAGACTGCCCACCAGGAGATTCCCATCTTGAGTTAAAATCAGCACAATAATTAATTTGTTAGCACCCACTGCTGATTGACTTCTC